AGTCTGATCTGTTCACAAGTGGCTAATTCCACAAATCTGTTGCTCAATGTCTTATTCTTTACAAAATCTCTCTCTGGGAAGGAGTTCTGGCAAGTGATAAAATGACAGTGAGTTACCTCTTGACCCTGTCCATGGCAGGTACCATGCTCTTCTTTATCCCAGTTTATCTCTTGTCTTATCTGTAATTTTCCACATGACAATTTCCCTAAATTTAAAAGGTCCACAAAACTGCTGAAATCAAGATGCCCTTAATACTCCTAACCTAGCAATAAGTCATCTTTGAGAGTCATCACATGATGCCAAGCAACTTAAGTTATTTTTCCAGACAGCTGGCTCATTCTTCACTATTATCTTTGTGTATGTGCTTATTTGGAGCAAGGTAGAGACCACTGTAGTTCAACAAATGAAGAGTATATGCTTATCTCCTTTTTTCAATATTAATAACATTAAGGTTGTTATTCTAATTCATCAGAATAAGTTAGCCTGGAATTTGAGGTTGTTTAATGGTGGGATGGTATGCAGACATAAAATTAGAATAAGCAGGTAATGGTTATAATATTACAACATTGTTGTACAAGCTGAATCACCTACCTTTTGGCAACTATTTCTATTTGATGTAGTTATTTTAATATTTAACATTTATTGAATGTTTACCATTTTCCAGACACCCAAGAGACAAAGTAGGGAGGATATCTACTTTTTGAGGTAGTTACATTCTATCTAGGAAGAGAGTCAGATAAAAGACCAACAGTTGAGGTGCAACCTAGTATGTGCTGTTAGGAATTCAGGGCGGGGCTGGTGCTGTGTCACAGTGGGTTAACGCTCTGGCCTGAAGCGCCAGCATCCCATATGGGCACTGGTTCAAGACCTGGCTGCTCTACTTCCAATCCAGCTCTCTGCTGTAGCCTGGGAAAGCAGTGGAAGGTGGCCCAAGCCCTTGAGCCCCTTAATCTTCAAAGGGTCTATTCGTATAGGAACCTGCTTAAAGAACTCCTTCTTGGCCAAAGTAAACCTTTAAAAAATAATGGATCCATGTTCTCTACTGATCTTCAAAGACAGAACAGACAAACCACTACATAGATACGATCTAACTCAGAATGCTTACTCTTAATCCACTCCTGTGAGCTACCTACCAGGTAGTAGAAAATACAGTTAGAGGTCGTTTCTCCAGGCACATTTCCAACAAGATTTAAAATGAGCCAAGTCATAACATTTCCTCAGTCAATGCCAATATTTTTATACTTTAAAACAAAAACATTAGCATTTTGGTTGATTCCTATTACCAGTTTTCTAAAATATAAGAGTGCAAATGGTTTCATTAGACTCTCGTATTAAACCCTCACACTTATTTAGATGTCAAAGACTGGAAAATGTGCTATATCTGCATAGTTTTCTACACACTTATAAGTGTGTGATAAAAAAATGAGTGACAAGAGATACAGGCATCCTTACAAAAAAAATCAATAGCAAGCAATCTACATTATCCCTACCTATGCTGCAAACTATCTTTGCAATCCTGGATGAGCCACTCCAACTCAGTATGATAAATGAATTAACTATTCGTTCTACTCTAAATATTTCAAAGAAAAAAAAATACAACATGAGTGAAGCTGTACTAGACACTCCAGTTTTTTAGGTTCAAAATTTGAACGCTTCTAAAAAAATGTCTGTTAGAAATTCTCTACCCTCTCATCCCAGTTGGTGAAGCTCAGATCCCACTGTCAAATCACTTCCAGACATCTGAAACACTTAATCCTTCCAGCTTAAGATACTCAGGTGATTAACAATGAAGCTCTTATTAGTAAATCATGTGCTCTTAGTGGCTATTTTCTGGACCTTCTCGTTCTAGTATCAAATCACACCCATTAAGTATACAGGCATTTGAGAAACTTTAACTTTTAGAACCCTAATGTACATTTTTTTTTTTTTTTTTTGGACAGGCAGAGTTAGACAGTGAGAGAGAGAGACAGAGAGAAAGGTCTTCCTTCCATTAGTTCACTCCCCAAATGATCGCTACAGCCAGCACACTGCGCCAATCTGAAGCCAGGAGTCAGGTGCTTCCTCTTGGTCTCCCATTCAGGTGCAGGGCCCAAGCACCTGGGCCATCCTCCACTGCACTCCCGGGCCACAGCAGAGAGCTGGACTGGAAGAGGAGCAACAGGGACTAGAACTGGCGCCCGAACCAGGACTAGAACCCGGGATGCCGGTGCCACAGGCAGAGGATTAGCCAAGTGAGCCGCGGTGCTGGCCTAATTTGTTGTTATTTCAGATAAATACGCTAGAAAAAAAAATTCCAAAAGGAACACATATATTTCTAAATATGCCTCAGAATAAGGAAAATCTGAAAAACTAAGATGCATCATTCTTCAAAATACTCCCTGTTCAAGAATCATGCATGTCATGCTGAAATGAAAATAGCTCTTCACACCAGTAACCTAACAAACTGCCAATGACAGTAATATATTCATCCATGTTCCCATATTATAAATAACACATGCACAGGCATAAATGAGTATCTTTGTAGGTTACCCAACTAACTGGCACAATCAAAGACACTCTTTCAAAAGAATCATTGTAGAAAGCCAAAAGAGAAAAAAAAGATGGCAAATCAAAAGACAATTTGAGTAATATCTTACATAAGGCTTCAAAACCCACCTGAGATGTTTGTAAAGTAAAACAAAACTGATAAATTGGTTAGGACATCAATGGGCAAAGAATCCATGGGAGAAGCAATAAGTTTGAATTGTAGTGAAAAAGAAATTCCCACATGTTATGGATCTGAATGAAAGATACAGTATAGAAAAAAAAGCATAAAATGTCATTTATACTATGTCATTCAAGTTGCTGCAACTCAAGAAAAATGTGTAAGAGCTGAAGAGGAAAAAAAGGCAATCAGAAGGTTCCATTTTTTCACTGATCCCTTCCTCAATCAACTGATTGAAGATGAGCTTTTAACAACCAAAAAAAAAAAGAAGAAAAAATAAAAGCCAAAAGGAGTCGGCAAAAGGGCAGAAGGGCCACGCTCTGGTTGAGAAAAGATGAGGAGGTGGAGAAAACAACGTGAATTTGAATAGCAATATAAATGACTTGGTTAAGAAAAGACAAACTTGCTTACTAACTCTTGTACTGTAGAAGCTACATCTGAAATATGATTTTACCTTTACAGAGGAGTAACATATCACAAAGTAACCCTGACAGGGAAAATTTAAGAATTCGTAATGGGCTTCAATACTACATGACTGTAGTATTGAGATAATTTGAAGAATGATGCCTTGAGAGACTGTAGTATTAGAGATAAGCAATGATTAATTTCTCTCCTTTGTAGTTGATGTCAGAGAGCACCGGTGCCCTGTGGTCTCTAGATGCCTCATCTCTTTGAAATGCTAGGACTGTACAGTGCATGGATCTGGTTCTTTCCGTGCTTCCATGTTACATGAAATAAACTGTCGCTCCCCCTCTTCGCGGAGGAACGACACAGGACCCTGCGCTGTTCTTTTGTCTGCTCGGCCCTTCCCAGGTTTGCTGCTGGTCCTTCCCGGGTTGGCTGCCGATCCTTCCACCTCCGTGGAAGGGCGGCTCCCCCTGCCACTTTCCCCACTTCCGCGGGGGAGCAGCACACCGCCGGCCGGCTCTCTCGGGGGCTGCTCAGATGTTCCTCAGGTCTTTCCCTTAGATGTTCCTGGTGCATGTTGTCTCTCTCCTCCTTTATAGTCCTCTTCCACCAATCCCAACTCTGCTACCCACACGCCGAGTACGCTGCTCTCCTCCAATCAGGAGCAGGATCAGCTCCTGCAGGTTATTGGTCGAACTGGAGGCAGCTGTGTAGAAGTTGTTTACTCCTCTCCCAGCGCCATATTGTGGGAGAGCAGATGCATAGAGTAAGTCTTAATTCCAGTAACTTAGTCTAGTCCGAGTTGCTCCCCACATATACCAAGGTATCATTTCTTAAATATAACACTAATAATTGTATTAGAAAAGTCCTCAATGTGTATATCACAATCATCTTCTTACCCTTTTAAAAATCTGCCCAGTAATTGTTCTTATCTGATACCTATAAGCAAATGTGGGTTTACCCTTCAGTAAGACCCTGACAGACATTGTAGCATATAGTACCCAGAGCTAGAAATTAACAATCCAACAGTTTTTTCAGGGTGACTGTTTTCAGAGGAAAGAGTAGAAATAGTTTCAACAATGAAAATCCAGAAACAAAGCCTGAGCATCCTGGTAAACAGCATCAGATGTTCAGATTAAATCTAGAGAGTCAAACTAAGATTAGACAATCCACTGCAATGACAGATATGTGTACATGCCCCGTTACTTTGAGATACCTATTGAGAAGGCAAACTAGAAGAGAGAACACTAAAGAATTCACTGATGGCTCAACCAGTTTTAAGAAACTAGTTGAGCAAATATATTTTCTTAAAGTGTCATTAACTCCCTCTTTGGAATGAAATGGCAATAAAATATGATTTCCATAACACAGATTTTCTTGCTAACTTACATTAGCTGGCTGTCTATTTTGACGAAAGTCACTATTTCATTTTCTTTGTTGGACATAAGTTTAGTGGTGATGACTTCCCCAACAACTTCTATTCTCTTGGCTTACATTTATTTGAGTTCACTGAGCCTAAATATGCAGACTTATGTTGTGCTATTTGGTGTAAAACAGTGGAATTTATGTTTTATTAAAAGTAAAATCAACCACCCTTATTAAAGCTAATTGTCTAAATCTATTCTCTTCATATACTATGCTTGTTAATCAAACCCCGTTTACCAGCTATTCTGTTGATCGGCAGGGTGGCCTCTCATCACAGGGACGCTCACTCAAAGCAGGAATGTGTTCCAGGGAGCTAACAGATCCACAGACAGAGGGATCTTAGAGTCCTGACTGCTTTTTAGAGTGGCATTAGTTTCCAAAGGACAGTCAATCCTACCTCTTTTATATTTTATATTCTATTTTACATTTCAACAAAATAACCAAGGAGTTTAGCAAACCTTACTTCTGGCAGTGGCCCGGCCGGCTTGGTCAGGATTCCTCCTACATACACAACATTAGGCAGAGTGGGTCTTGGAAACTCCAGGGCTACGTCAGTGCACAGCATCCACAGGCTGGACCCATGAACCAAATCATACATGGACTTCTCCGGCTGCAAGTTGTACTTCTGCATTATCCTCTCGTATTTGGGAAGAACCAAAAAGCTGACCCCTATTCTGGAAATCAGGTAAACGCCGGTGTTTTTCATCCTTTGCAGCAAGTTCATGCGGTCTGTGAGGAGTGAGTTAAACTCTGGAACATAAGCTAACGGAGCAGGGGCACCCACTTCGGCAGGATACCAAAGGCCGGTGGAAAACACAGCATATTTAACGCCTAAAAGATGAGCTATCACAAATCCACACATATCATTAGGGTCCACCAGCAACAGGTCAAACTTCTCTTTTTTCAGATCCTGGATCAAGGCCTGGTTGCCAACCATCATGTCACAGTTCTTAGTGTAGCGATCCAGTATGTCAAACAGTTCGATGGCTGTTAATCTCCCAGAGAAAATATTCCGCATTTTGGACTGCAGGAAAGCGTCAGAGGTGGTACTGTTAAAGATTCCTGGGTAGCGCTGGAGGCTGTAATGATTAGATGGGGCAATGTCTCTACCTTCAGAGAGGAGAAACACTGTGTGGTGGCCTCTCTCATGCAAGGCTGAAGCTAGTGTCTTGAAAATGTACATATGGCTTTCAAACATAATTGGCGGCACAATGATGATTTTGGCAGCCTTTGCGATCCCAACAGCACTCCACAGGAGCATGAAATATGGAGTGTAAGACTTCATAGCTGTAAGACAATGAGAAAACAACATGAGACACAACATAATGCTTACCCTTCAGAACAATCTCACTCTTTCTCTAACATATCAGATGATCCAAAACTCTAAGGAACTACTTTTAAAAATTATACTAATACTTATTTGAATAAGTCTTCTATTTTTGAAAATAAATTTAAGTATAAAGTTGGCAGCAAAATTAACAAACTGAAATATACTAAAAATGGGTCAATTTTAGAACAGATAATTATATCAATAAACTAGTCTAAAATCTGAAATAAAACTTACATAATACTGAATGAATTATGTCTCTGTTTCGAGTAATATCTATGAAACATTTGTTAATTTTCTAATTGAGTGTTAATGTTAATCCCAGGAAGAAAAGTGGAGATTTTATATTTTCAAGTATATGTTCATATGTCACTTAAATCATTTCAGTAGCTATATTTTCAGTTATAACCAAAGCATAGCAAAAAAAATTATGTTTTAAAAATTATTTCAAATAGGAGTTTGAAAATTTGTAGAAAATGCCTTTTTCCCACAGGGAAAAAAAAGACCTTTGACATATATTTCTCTTTCACCTAAATATCATAAATATCCTGAGAGTCTCTGCGTTTGTCATTTTGCTTGTGCATTCCAGGCATTATCTACAAGAGAAATGTAACAGAAAAGTTAAAACAGGCTAAACAGATCTCAGTAAATGTTTACTGAAGAAGGGATCCATAAATGATAATGCCCCAGGCCACAATTCCTGTGATGTAGCTTTAGCTCAGCTGTGAATGGCAAATCATATGGTAGCTGTACAATTGGAACCTCCTGTGCTTTCGTGGTAACAGGTTATGTGTAACAGTCAAAATTGTCCTCTGTCATTGTTTAGAAATAAGTACACTAAAAATGGGAGCAAACACTCCTAACCTGCTCAGTACAATTAACACTCAGACTCTAAAGTAGATCTCAAATAAAGAAAAGATCTAAACAACTCCCCACATAATCCGGACACTTATTTCAAGAACAACTCAACATAGATTTTTGTATGTATCGCCAAATCATTAGCTATTTTTATTCATTTCCATACTTCAACCAACCTACTTCTACAAACCCCCACTACCTAAATTCACTTGAATAACTGTACCTTCTCAACATTCAAATATTTTAAATAACCTAAAAAAAAAAAAGAAACAACAGCAGCAAGTGATGGATTCTTCCAATATCAACATTGAACTATAAAATAAATTATATTTCCAGATACGTTTTTCCCTCTCTAACTCCAAGAAAAGTTTCAAAGTACTTCTAAGTAAATTGAAACTGTGTCACTAAGAATAAAGAAAGGTTGGCCAATGTTGTGGTGCAGCAGGTTAAGTTGCTGCTGCAAGGCTGGCAACCCATATGAATGTCAGTTCTGAGGCCTGGTTGCTGTGGTTCTGATCCAGCTCCCTGTTAATGTGCCTGAGTAAGCAGGAGAAGATGGCCCAAATAATTGGACCCCCACCACCCTACCTGAACTCCTGTCACCTACATGGGAGACCTAGATGGAGTTCCAGTCTCCTAGCTTCAGCCTGGCCTAGTCCTGTCCATTGTGGTCATTTGGGGAGTGAACCGGCTGTCGGAAGATGTCTCTCTCTCTCTACCTATCTCTCTGTAACTCTGCCTTTCAAATAAACCTTTTTTTAAAGAAAAAAAAGAAGGAAAAATAATGAGCATTTCAAACATCTGTTAAAAGCTGCTTGAATTGTTACAAAGGTTTTAAAAGTAAATAGATTCAGAGAGACACTGTTTCTATACAAAATTCACTCTACAATTACAAGATTAATGAAGAAAAAGAAGCAACCAATCTTGGAAAATACCTTCTAGGTCAATATTCTACTATACTGCCTCATCATGTTTCCCTGATGTTCACTTCTTAGGGATTTTCCATGGACATGCAATGAGTTCCAGGGGTAAGATTTACACAGAAACAGTTATCCTAGAAGCTCCTTCCTATTGGTCTCACTGCTTGTATGTTCAAGAAAATGTGCTTAATGATAGACCAATGCTAGACAATTGTTCTCTCCACTAGGTTTTGATGTAACTGAGCAGAGACAGCGGGCACATCAGTCAGTTGTACTTAAAATCACTACTTTATTATAAATAACTAAAAATAAAACAAAAATATAGTAGGGAAACAAATCATTTACTGTTATTTTATTCTTTTTATTTTAGTATTTCCTTTCAGTAACTAAAAAATTACCAAAAGAATAATTTTTAAATGAACACCTGCTTATGCTCTAAAACAGCACCACCCAGCAGAACTTTCTATGATAAGACTGGTAAAGATCCTCACTGTCCAATACGATATCTCTTAGCCACATGTGGCTACAGTGCAATTGAAATGTGGATAATATGTCTGAGGAACTCAAAAGTAACTGTTGTTTAATTTAGCTACTTGTGCCTGGTGGCTATTATATTAGAATAAAATAAAAAATAAAAATAAAAGAGGTGGACATTTGTAGTTAAGGTGGTATTGTGGTTAAGACACCAGTTACAATATTTGGGGCTGATGTCTGGTTCTGGCTGCCAACTTCAGTTTTCTGCTAATGTGTGTCCTGGGAGGCAGTGGTGATGCCTCAAGTTACTGGGTTCCTGCCACACATGTGAGATATATGGATGTGTACTCAGTCCCTGGCTTCTGCGCTGGACAAACCCCAGCTGTTGAGGGCATCTGGGGGATGAATCATTTGTTAGGAGCTCTTTCTTTCTGTCTCACCCACTCTCCAGTTTAAATAAATAAATATGTAAATTTTTAAAAATTGCATAGATTCAGGGACTGGTATTATGGCAAAGTAGGTTAAGCTACTACTTGGGCTGCCTGCATTGCTCCAATTCTAGTCCTGGCTACTCCACATCTGGTCCATTTGCAATCCTGCTTGCTGTTAATGTGCCTGGGAAGGCACAAGAAAGTGGTTCAAGTGCTTGAACCCCTGCCACCCACGAGGGAAATCCAAATGGAGTTCCAGGCTCCCAGCTTTGACTTGCCCAGCCCCAGCCACTATGGCAATTAGGGGAGTGAACCAGTGGATGGAAGATCCCTCTTTCTGTCTCTCCTTCTTTCTCTGTAACTCTGCCTTTTGAATCAATAAAGTAAATCTTTAAAATGCATAAATTTTGTATATATTATATATATACATATTCTGAAAGTCACTATTCATAAATTTACATGGCAAAATACCTTCTCACAAGAACATGTACGGCCCGCGCTGCAGCTCACTAGGCTAATCCTCCGCCTGCGGCGCCAGCACCAGGTTCTAGACCCGGTTGGGGCGCCGATTCTGTCCCGGTTGCTCCTCTTCCCGTCCAGCTCTCTGCTGTGGCCCGGGAAGGCAGTGGAGGATGGCCCAAATCCTTGGGCCCTGTACCCGCATGGGAGATCAAGAGGAAGCACCTGGCTCCTGGCTTCGGATTGACACAGCGCCGGCGTAGCGGCCATTTTGGGGGTGAACCAATGGAAGGAAGACCTTTCTCTCTGTTTCTCTCTCTCACTGTCTAACTCTGCCTGTCCACAAAAAAAAAAAAAAAAAATGTACTACATCTTCTTATCTCTTTATGAAACAACACTCATTATCATCAAAGAAGCATCATTTACACAGCATGTTGTTGTGTTCCAATTAAAAATTCTGAGATGCTTTAATCTCAAATATCATTGAATATCATTGTGGTAGATAAAAAAAATACCATCGTGGTGGTTTAGAGAGTAACTGACACAACTAGAAACAAATTCTTGCTGGTCCAGAATTATCTGAATGTGTCCATCAGAAAAAATGATTTGCTGAAATGTTACACGGTTTCAGTTTTAGCATCCGCTTTTTAAATTTACTTTAGAGAAAGAGAAAGACAAAAGAGAGCACTCCCATCTGTTCACTCTCCCAATGCCTGTAAAGGTCTAGGCTCAACCCAGGTCTTCCACATGGGTGTCAGGAGCCTAACACCTTGAGCCATCACTGTTGCCTTCCAGGATCTGCACTAGCAGGAAGCTGGAGTCAGGAGTTGAACCTAGGTACTCTGATGTGAGACACCAGCATTGTAACCACTAAGCAACATGCCACCCCAATGTTTTTTAAGATCTTTTATGATTCTGAGTTTTATTTGTAAAACAAGATACACCACCAAAATGTCTTACCAAAATGTAAATACTTTCAATGTTGTGCTCATTAACACATCCAAATAAGCATGTGTTGACTTAGAAGCTGAAACTGAATATTCCAGACACCACAGGAGAATTTTAAAACTTAAAATATAATTTTAATATATGACACATGACAGACAGCACTTGATATTTTAAAATGCCAAGAACAGAGTTTTTTAAAACAAGTTTAAGCAAAAGCTGTCTTTTCTTACATAATTACAGTAGGACAGAGCTGGATGGGATATTATGTATAACGTATCCAAGCAATCCACAAACACTTGAATCTACTCTTACACCTAGTTTTCCAACCTACAAGGTTGGTAACAACTTAAAAATTATCCCCATCATTTCTACTTTTTAACATAATTCTGAACACGAGTGCTCATGTTTTAGAAAATAAAAGAAGTATAAAGATTAAAAGGTAAGAAACATGGGGCTGGCAGTGTGGGCATCCCATATAGGCATCAGTTGGAGTCCTGGCTGCTTCACCTCCAATCCAGCTCCCTGCTATGGCCTAGGAGAGCAGTAGAGATGGCCCAAGCACTTGGGTCCCTGCACCCACATGGGCGACCTGAAAGAAGCTCCTGGCTCCTAGCTTTGGATTGAAGCAGCTTTGGCCATTGTGGCCATCTGAAGAGTGAACCGGTGGAGAGATGACCTCTCTCTCTCTCTCTCTCTCTCTCTGCTTCTGCCTCTCTGTAATACTGCCTTTCATAGAAAATGTGTATTATGAAAAAACTATGCATGGATTTCAAACTTTTTACCACCCAAATAAACATCTTTTAATTTAATTTTCCATGAACTTTTTGAAGTACCCTTTTACAGTGACTAATGGTATCCTAGAAAGACAACATGCAACATACATACTAGACATTTAACTTCCATAAACATTCCAGTGAATTTATTAAGTAAAAGACAGGATTGTTCTTAACTGCAAAGATACATTAAATTCCCAACAACTGAAGGTTAATTAAATAAGTTGACATTCACTGATACAATGCAAACACTTGAAGAGTCTTGTAAAAAGAAAATGATATGACAATCATAATTTCCTGAAAATTATGATACTAAATATTCTATATTTCATGCACCACTTTGCAAAACATACACATATGTACACACACAGTTATACCATGTACCAAAATAAGTGTTTTTCTCTGGATGTGTGAATTGTAAGGAATGTTAAAATTTTCTATGTACTTGCAAAGAAATACAGTGAGCATAAAGCTTTCCTTGAAATAAATTTTGTAAAATAATACTTGATTAAAAAATATCTTTTGGAGCCGGTGCCATGGCTCAGTAGGTTAATCTTCTGCCTGCGACGCCAGCATCCCATGTGGGTACCGGTTCTAGTCCCTGGCTGCTCCTCTTCCAATCCAGCTCTCTGCTGTGGCCTTGGAAAGCAGTAGAGGATGGCCCAAGTGCTTGGGCCCCTGAACCCAAGTGGGAGTCCTGGAAGAAGCTCCTGGCTCCTGGCTTCAGATCGGCATAGCTGCAGCCCTTGCGGCCATTTGGGGAGTGAACCAACAGAAGGAAGACCTTTCTCTTGTCTCTCCTTCTCACTGTCTGTAACTCTACCTCTCAGATAAATAATTAAAAAATATTTAAAAACAAATATCTTTCTGATACTAACAATAACAGAGAGAGGTAGAGACAGAGAGAGAGATCTTCCAAATGCTGGTTCACTCCCCAGATGGCTGCAAAGGCCGGAGCTGCACCAATCCTAAGCCAGGAGCCAAGAACTTCTTCCAGGTCTCCCACCTGGGTGCAGGGGCCCAAGGACTTGGGCCATCTTCTATTGCTATCCCAGGTCACCGCAGAGAGCTGGATCGGAAGAGGAGCAGCCGGGACTAGAACTGGCAACCCTATGGGATGCCGGTGCTTCAGGCCATGGCTTTAACCCACTGTGCCACAACACCTGCCCCGCATAACACATTTTATTTAAGATTTAGTTATCTGAAAGAGTGATATATAGAGGGAGAGAAAGAGAGAGGTATGATAGAGAGAAATAGAGATAGAGATAGAGATAGAGATAGAGATAGAGATAGAGATAGGGAGAGGGTTAGAGATAGAGAGAGGGAGAGGGAGAGATATAGAGAAAGAGATAGAGATGAGATAGAGACAGAGATGAGCTAGAGGTGATATAGGGATAGAGATAGAGATAGGGAGAGGGAAAGAGAGAGAGAGAGAGAGAGAGAGAGAGAGAGAGATGAGATGAGATAGGGATATAGAGATAGAGATGATATAGGGATAGGGATAGGGATAGGGATAGAGACAGAGACAGAGACAGAGATAGAGATAGAGATGAGATAGAGAGAAATACAGATAAAGATGGAGAGAGTTTCCATCCGTTGGTTTATTCTCCAGATGAGCACAACAGCCAAGTCTGGGTCAGGTAAAACCCAGGATCCAGGAACTCCATCTTGGTCTCCGACCTGGGCAGAAGGTCCCCAAGTACTTGAGCCATCTCTGATGCCTTCCCAGGCACAATAGCAGAGAGCTGCATCGAAAGCAGAGAAGCTGGGACTTGAACATGTCACAGGCAGTGGCTTAACTTCCTGCGCCACAATGTTGTCTCCTTGTGTAACACCTTTTAAATCACCAAAAAAAAAGTTTTTGTTGACTGTACTCGCAAATATGGCCATACTTTCCCTAAGGATACATACATAGAAACAACACAAAATGTATAGGAACATTATTTTAACAAAAACCTACATTCTAATAAAGGCAATCATTCATATACTATAGACAGACTGGATATATTCCTCTCAAACTGCAGAAGATAGTTTTTTTGAATTTTTTGTAATTTGATGAAATTATACCCATGCTTATTTGGAAGGCTAAACAGGAAGGAATATTTTTTTAAAAGAGAGAGAAAAGGAGGAATAGTATCTTATTTGAAAAGTAAAGTAACAGAAAGAGAGGAAAAGACAGAGAGAGAAAGGAATCTTCCAGCTGCTGGTTTGCTCCCCAAATGCCTGTAACAGCAGGTTTCGGCCAGACAGAAACCTGGAGCCAAGAACTCCATCCAGGTCTCCCACGTCAGTAGCAGGGACCCAAGAACTTGGGCCATGTTTCACTGCTTTCCTAGGCTGGGAATGAAGGAGCTGAGCCTTTAATCGGTGCTCATAAGGGATGCTGCATGGCGATGGTTAACCCACTACACCACAATACGAGCCCCAACAAATGAATTTTTAATTGGCTCTATATTTGAAAAAATAAAATCAGCATAAAAGTTTTACTTTAGGCCTGTCCCAAAGTAAATCAGATGGTACCATATTAACATTATTTTAAAATAAACCCATTAAAAGTGTTGATATTAAAATCATTACCTGAATTGAGAAAAATAATCTAAAATAAAGACAAAATCACTTTAACAAATATTACATTTGGTTCCATATCCACTATCTATGTTTGGAATATTTTGAGCATCCAGAGCTCAGGTCTCCAGTTTTAGATAGCAGATTGAACACAAGTGGTTTTATTGTTTTTTTCTCAAAGTCCATTAGAAATTTGACTGAGGGATATAAACAGGAATAAATACGTAATAATCCTGAGAAATGGGATGAGTAATCAGATATTGTCAGGGCTGTAGTCATCAATGGAATGAAGTTTTGATAAATTTCTGAAAACAAATTCTGAGAAGAGCTCATTGAGTGATAAAATAAAGAGTATAGGAAGTCATGACTCAAAATGCACAGAGAACTCTTGGCAGACATGAAAACTCCTTCAAGGGTGGCTTTGAATTTGACATGTATGTGTGAGGAGACCAGAATAGGGCACACTGCAAAAAATCAGCAGAAGAATTCTCTAAAGAGGAGCTCTCCCAATTCACTCCATCTACCAATCATCCCTCACTCCCACATGGGCAAAGTAGTGGAATTATATTTACCCCTAGAGTAAAAAAGTAGATCAGTTCTCTAAATAAAGTGGTAATCTGCCAGAGAAGGGATCAGAACTGGTACCTCAGGGTAAGACCTAAGACCCTTCTAATGCTGGCATACTAGAGGCAGTATATGGCTTTCCATCTGTGCACCCTAAAGAGAAAACATTGATCATTAACTTACCACAGCCATATATGCAGTTTGAACTCAACTTCAAAGTTAGTCACAAGACAAAAGAGGTAATGGAGGAAATTAAAAGTTTAACAAATTCAAATTCATGTCCTCAGGAAGATTTTTATCTGTGAAACAAAAAACAAAACAAACAACAACAAACTTTTCTGAAAAAGATCAAAAACGAGAAAATTGGGAAATCCAAAATGACTACCAAAAAAATCAAGCAACCTCCAAGTACAACAAAATAACAAGACAGAAATCATAAGAGAAAAGTTAGCAGACACAAATGACCAACTCAACATACATCAAGCAGGGGAAAAGTAGTTTTTAAAAAAGAAAGAAAAAAATATTTTCAAGACTGAAAAAGAAAAGTCTTAAAACTGAAAAGGATGAACAAAGATTTTTGACCACACACATCACGGTACAATTTCAGAATACCAAGGATTCCACACCAGGGAGAAGATCCCAAATGCTTTCAGTCATCTCTGATACCACTTCCTCCTATGCAAGGTTTTGTGCACCCAAAGCATCATCTAACAATGCAGATGTAAACTCAGAGCACTCTCTCAACTCTGTCCAATTTATCACAATCTTCTCCACAGTCGCTCAGAAGGATTCCACCATTCTTGCATATACTGCAACAATCTACTAACTAAACTTTCCAAATATCCCTTAATCTCTCCTGGAATATTTTTGCCAAATGCAAAGCTACTGTCATTCCTCTTACTTAAAACACTGCAATAGTTTCCTACAAAATAACTAACATGGTGTCCCAAGCCCTGCACCACCTAGACCTTCCTTGAGCCTCCAGCCTCACGTCTCACCCATCTTGCTTTCTGTATCCCCACTCACAGGCTTCTTGCCCTACTCACTTTGAGAGACGATTTGTTCACAGTATTCCCCCACCTGCAGTGCACACCATTTGACCTTCTTCAGACCACTCCAACTCTGCTTTCCCAGGAGAGGAGGCTGTTTTGTGCCCTTTAATACAGTTCTAAGGTCACTGCACTGTGACTCATTGAATGCATCTATCTTTCCACAACCTTCATATGGGCAGATTCATTTCCACTCCCTCAAACCACCGACCTTTGACCACACCATTATATCCCCATGACCAGCACCAAGCCTAACAAGAAACAAGAGCTTAAAAATTTACTGAATGATTAAACTATGAAAAATCAGGTTTTTAAAAATAAAAATGCATTTTTATTTATTATTTATTTGAAAGTCACAGTACACAAAGAGTTGGAAAGACAGAGAGAGAAACAGAGAGAAAGAGGAAAGAAACCTTTCATCTGCTGGTTTACACCCCAGATGGCTGCAATGGCTGGGGCTCAGCAATGACGAAGCTGAGAGCCAGGAGTTTCTTCCAGGTCTCCCATGTAGGTGGGTGGCAGGGGGCTTAAGCACTTGGGACATCTTCCACTGTTTTTTTTTTTTTTTTTTTTTGGACAGGCGGCAGAGTGGATAGTGAGAGAGAGAGACACACACAGAGAAAGGTCTTCCTTTTGCCATTGGTTCACCCTCCAATGGCCGCCACAGCTGGCGCGCTGCGGCCAGCGCACCGCGCTGATCCGAAGGCAGGTGCTTCTCCTGGTCTCCCATGGGGTGCAGGGCCCAAGGACTTGGGCCATCCTCCACTGCACTCCCGGGCCACAGCAGAGAGCTGGCCTGGAAGAGGGGCAACCAGGACAGAATCCGGCGCCCCGACCGGGACTAGAACCCAGTGTGCTGGGGCCGCTAGGTGGAGGATTAGCCTATTGAGCCACGGCGCCGGCCTTAAGCACTTGGGACATCTTCCACCGCTTTTCTCAAGCAATTAGTAGGGAGCTGGATTGGACGTTGAATAGCCAGGAAGTGAAACTGTTGCTCCTATGGGATGCTGGTGTGGCAGGCGAAGGCTCTACCCACTATGCCACAATGCTGGCCTCAGTTTTTGCTTTTCTTGTTTTATGGTTTTGTTGTTGGTATTCTTTTTATAAAGTGCCTTGGGTTTAAAACAAAATCCAAAACAAAAACCTTTACTTACTTGAGACAGAAAGAGATAGCCCTTATCCTCTGTTTCACTCCTGAAATGCCTTCAATTACCAGGGTAGGCAAGCTGGGCTGGGCTGAAGCCAGGAACTCAGTGCAGGTTCCTCACATGAGCAACAAGAATGCATTTACTTGAACCATTACAGCTGCCTCCCATGGTCTACATTAGCAGGAAACTGGGGTCAGGAGCCACAGATAGTTATCAAACCTAGGTATTCTTATGTGTGACATGGAACTAAATACTCACAGCATTTTCAAAAGGTACAGCAATTGCAAAGCCATTGCACAGAATGAAACAGCTAATGGAAATGTCAACTGATACAAATGTTCTGAAATACCCCTGGCACATTATTTTACATTAATGAATTTCTCTGTACAGAAATATCGACTTTTATGTACAGATGATTACCATATTCATTTCCACTAGCAAACAGCTAGTAACGAGTAAGAATCCAGTGGTACAGGATTAATCAAATTAATTACAGTACATTTCACAATGGAATACTACAGAACATCAATGGCTCACACATGCTGAAATGTGAAACATACCAATGTAACACTGAGGATTTTTTTTTTAAATATGAGGAATAGACTTACAGATCTCCTGTGCTTCATACTTTCTCGAACAGCTATCTAACACACTAATCTAATACCATACTGGATTCCTGGTGACATTACTTTAAAATATTATTTCCACTTACTCATTAAAAATAAATGTATGGAAATAATCTTTGGCCACTAATTGAAAGACACATTGCTCTGGCATTTCCTATTTGATGTTAGATCATTAATAACTCTGACCTGGAGAGTATTCATGAGGATAAACCACATGGAGGAGAAAAAAAAAAGCACATAAACTATATGCAAGAACAGTTTTTAACAACCTACCACCCTAACAGCTCAGCAAGTCATAAATTGACAGTTTATTTATTTGTTTATTTTATTTATTTTCATTTAAAAGGCAGAAAAATAGAAAGAAACAGACAGACAGACTTTCTATCTGTTGGTTCACTCCTCAAATGTCTGTGATAGCCAAGGCTGGGTAACGCAGAAACTAGAAGTCAGGAACTTAATCTGGGTCTCCCATGTGTGTGTCAGGGACCAAACTACTTAGTCCATCACCTGTTTCCTCCTAGGGTATGCAATAGCAGGAAACTGGATAAGAAGTGAAGATACAGGACTCCAGCCAGTCTTCTCAGATAGCGATTTGACCTCTGTGTCAAATGCCCTCCCCAATAGCCTATCATCTTAAAAGAAAACAAAATAAGGGCTAATGAGAAATTTATAACCATGTCTTTATGTGGTAAATTGGGCTATTCAGAAAAACAACATAGGTGGGTTAAACTAACGCAGGCTGTGTCTAGTCAGGCTAGCTGACACCTAATGTTCTGATTACTTTTAATTTCCCTAGCATTTAGTATTACACGGATTGTAATAACAGTAAATAAAGCAACTGCAATCATCACCAGAGGTCAATCTTGGTACTACATCCAATATTGTTAGAGAAACTCATCTCTTCGAAACAACTTCTACAAGTGAACCTGGGAAAATGCCATCCAGCAAAATAAAAAAAAAATTTTTCAGTAAAGTAAACACTTCAAATAAATATAAATTTTACCTTAAAAAATCATCAGTATTCCCCTACCACAAATTAAACTTCCTAAGGGTAGGGGTTTTAGTAAAATTTGGTAACTATTTTATTTTCATTGCTTAACATGTGGAAAACGTTTAATACATATTAAACAAAGGACTACAACTGTGGTTTTTGAACCAGGATATAGGGATGGAACACCTGCACCTCCACTCAGCCCCATTTATTTCTTTAATTTTAAATGAATCTTCTAATACTACCAAACAGCTTATATCTGAACAAAATTCTAAATCCAAAGTGTTTGTCCTAGGCACAGAAGTTAGCCATGCACCTGAACTACAGAGAAAATCCCTGGAGTAAATGGGTACAGAAGCAGAAGAAATAGCAAGACAAAGATAGTGTTTTCATTATAGTTCTTCCTTGAGTCCAGGGTCTTCTTTCATCTGTTAGCCAACATATACATTCACAGACATGCCACAAATGCAGGAGAGAATTGGCATCGTTGTCACGAATAACAGCAGTGGGGTTACGAATGAAACCGGAAATTGCTGTGCCCGTTCACAGGCACATGGGAGACCGAGATGGCATCCAGAAGTTCTCCTCAGCTTCCAGGAATAAAATCTTCCACTTCAGCTTGACTCACAGACCAAAGGATGAGAGACCACATTTGTGAGCCTCTCCTAAGAGCTAGTTTTAATCTGAGAAATAAGTTCTAGTCGGTGAGAATGAGACCGAAGTATAACTGAAATGTGCCATCGCTAATTTATGTCTTTAGAGGCTTCACAGTTCATTCTCCTGCAGGCTTTGGAAGGAGCATACGGTAATGATGAACATCTTGGACCAGGCAGACAAAAGCATAGAAGGGGAAAGGTGGAACAAGGAAGGCACTTGGGGCCTACTCTGTGAGGCCAGAACAACGGTCCTGCCTGCTTATGCCCACAAGATTGTGTGTAAGGCAACTAATGACCTTTTCTATGCATGGTATTTTGTATCTGTTGATAGCACTAGTGAGACATCCACACTGGTTTTGCCCAGAATGGATGTGGGACTTGGGAAAACTGGGAGGAATCAGTCACCCCGAAGCTCCAACCCCAAGTCTGAGGATACAACTATGCATAAACACCAACTGTTTTTAATCACTATGCGCCTTTCTCACATTGCAGGTTTCATGAGCGTGATCTAATTTTATGTTGAGAGATGCATGAGGGCAAAAACGGTTGTCCCCATTTTGCAGATTATGATTGAGAAGCTCAGAATTTGACACAGATCTGGCATCCAATAAGTCTGTCCACTTTTATACCGCCATGTAAAGACAGGAAGGAAAGAAGGCTACATAATATATAACTATGGCAAAATTCAGTTTTATTGCTCCATAGTTGTTAAATAGCCAGGTTTTAAATGCTTTATGTTTCATATCAAGCTATTTTCTAGTGTTTCGAAGTTAATGGTGACTGGCTATTTGCAAGCAAAGTACTAAAAGCAGTAAATCTCCTAAAATCA